TGGGCTCTCTCCGGCAGCGGGACCCGCAGGGGCGCACGTGATGGCGGTGTGCGTACGAGAGAGCGCAGTTGAAACCCGGAATCGATATCGTCCCTTGCTTATCGGATCTTGGTCCTCGTCCAGAGGGTGGAACACAAAGGGGAGCTCCTGGATCCTGGCTTTCCAGCGGCCTGCCTCGAGGTGGGAGAGATCTGTCCGAACGCTGTTTCGCGTCCAGCTGAGTTGGATGGAGTCGATGTGGATGTGGCTCCCACCCCGTCCGTGCCTGCTTCTGCTTCCGGGCGTTCTGATCTGGCCGGTACTACGCATCCGTGGTGAGTGCCGCCTTCGACAAATCTATGTATTCCTCGTCCATCCGCCGCAGGGTCGGCCGTCTCTGTCCTCGGTGATCCCGCTCGCTGTTCTCCTGCGTCCGTATCTGCAGTGATTGCCGGCCTCGACGCTGAGACGGGCTGTCTGTGATCTCAGTGCGGACACAAATAATAATCTCTGCTTGCCCATTCGTTCGTCCTTGGTCAGCCATCACGCTGCTCAGTGTTTTGGTGCCGTCCAACGCATCTCAGACGGTTTGACGGGACGACGGGCCCGAATGAGAAATGACCCGGGCAGAGCCTGCATGCTATGGGCAGAGGGCTCTGGTATGCGGAATTGCCATACCCGGAAGGTCTCTCTCGTCCAACGTGCCTCGAGGCTCTGGTAGCACCGGGCGACGAGCTCCTCCTCTGACCGCGTGACCCATGCGCCCCAATGTGTCAGCGCAGCGCCGCAGCGTTTGCTTCGTCGTCCAGAGGCGCTCCGGGACGGCGGGGCGCCGTCTGCACCAAACTCAGTGTGTGGCGGACGATGCAGAGCTGCGACACCACCACGGTGTCGTCGCGTCGGGATCAAACTGGGGCGGCCGCACCGGTCCTGATGGATCCCGGGGGTGAGCGCGAGTTAGGAAGTGGTGGTGGTGGGTCTCCGACGACGCGAGCTGAAGGAACATGTTGCCCTCGCGTGCGCGCATCGAAATGAACTGGACGTGCGCGGAGACGGCGGCAGGAGGGATGCCCACCGGAGCCAGACGCAGCTGCTGTAAGGGGGCTAGCGTGGAGGGGACGCCCGGGACGTCGTCGGCGGAACGGTGCCTTGGGGGACGAATTTAGCCTGGGATGGGGCCCACCGCATGCTGCGTCTGTTCCCCATGCATAGAAATCATTTAGACGACACGTGTGGCTCGCTGAGGCACGTCCGCAAGCCGAACTCGCCCTGCACACCGACCGGATTGCTCGGGACGGGCCTTGTGATCGCTCCCGCCGCCCCATACAAACTTTGTATTCCCCTTTCACACTCCGCTTCTATTCCCCTTCTCGCGGACTCTCAATCCAAACTTACCCGCCCCGGCATTTGTTTGGCGGAGTTTGTGCCCAATTTTCGCGTAATGTGCAGCTGTGCAGATTCTGATTTGGCTCTTATTCGTCTCTCTTTCTGACGCCCTTCATACGCTCTGTTTTCCCTATAACCGCGCTCGCCCCCCTTCGTTCGCTGATTTCCTCCTTCCCGCTCGCCTCAGTCGGTAGATGCCCTCAATCCTCAATCTCAAGTTCAAGGTTCGTCCTACACCCTCATTCGACGACCAAAATCGCCCTCAGACCTTTTTTTTTCCTCCAGGGAAACAAGTCCTTCGTGCCCTTCTCCAATCTCGGCGATACCGACTCGCTGACTTTGACATGGAAGGTTTGCATCTCCGTCTACCCTCATCCCTGCCGTGCTCTGACCGTCGCCCAGGTCTGCACGAAGGTCGCCGGCTTCCTCGAACAGGGCCAACGCCTTGAGAACTTGAGCTGGAGGTTGTGGCACCTCCAGAACTTGATGGTCGACACCGACAACGCAAAGTCCAAGCGCGACTTCAAGAAGCTGTCCAAGTGCATGAGCGACAAGCTGGACAAGGAGAAGGGACGGTATGTTGTCCCCCCCCCCC